GCGAATGAAGTAATGAAGAGACGATCGCTATGTAATATTGCGGCTCTCACTATTTTATATATTTTATGACTTTTAGCAAGACAGTGAGTCTGTTTATTTTATATATATGTATGTATATATAGATTTAGTAATTATGATTAAATCTTGCCTTTGCATCATCACAATTCATGTAAAGTTTTTGTTGTATTTTCTTTTGTTTTGTTGTTTTCTACATATTTTGAAATATATTTTTCATATTTTTTGCTTCAGTTTCCATGCGCCGCTTGCAAATTTGTTATAAATTTCTATTTCTGTGATTTGATTTTTACTTTTTAAAATTGTTTCTTGTTTCAGAGTTTTCATTCAATTTACACACGTATACAGTTATTGTTGTTGTTGTTGGATATATGTAAGTATATTAAGAGCTGGGTCAAAAAAAATCGAATATTTGCTTGCGCTTTCTCCTCCTCACAAAAGACAAAAATGTTGAAAATTAAAACCAATTAAACAGCTAAACAAATAAGTTCGGTAAATATTCTTTAACATTAGTGCTTTAAGTTTAGGCGTAAAAATATTTTGCTAAAAATTAATATTCATATAGTTTATTATATTATTGAAATATATATATTTATGCATATATATTTATTTATATAACATAATATTGAAAACTTAAGCGCACAAACAAAACTAATTATTCAAATTAAAAACTATTTTTGCCAAACGTTTTTGCTTTCCCGAAAAAAATTAAACAAAATTACAAATTACAATACATATTTAACACAAATATAAAGGCAAGGAGTTTCGAAAGAACAATTTTTAACATTTCCAAAACGAGGGGGGGGGGGGAGGATTTTGGGAGAATTTGAAAACAATTATATGACCGCAAAGGCATCAACGGCACATCATTTCAATTAGTCGAGTATTGTATTTTAGTTTATCATTTTTGTTTTGTTTTTTTCTTCTCTTTTTCATTTAACCAAAGTGAAAACTTGAACGGATTGTGTAACAGGTTTTGCCAATTTTCTTTGTAGTTTACAATTAGAACACATTAACAATTAAGACTTATAAATTAGATTACAAATTTAAAACAATATAAAATCAGTACAGTATCAAATTAAACAAAACGTTTATCATTAAGCATATGTATACATATATTTGCAATTTGAATTGGGCTCTAGTTTGAAAAAGTCACCAAAAATTTCGAAAATTTCTTCATTTCTTCATAGTTTGCTTTTCTTTTCTAAGGCAAAAACGAAAAAATGTTCATCATGCAAAAAGTCGCGGCGTATGTTATTTTTTTTTTAGTTTTTTAATTTTTTTTTTTTTTTTGCTATGTTTGTGTGTGTTAAAAAAAAATGATAATAAAAATAAAAACTTTTTCGTAGGCAACAATTGATGAAAATTAGAAAACAAAAATATATAACGAAAATTGGTAAAAAAAATAATAATAATATGGTTAATTATTTGTGGTTGGTTTTGTTTGTTTTGAAATGGTTTTTAATTGTTGCTTCTTTACGTTTAGTTTTATATAGTTAGAAAATGGCGCACACTTTGCTGCGGCGGCTGCTGCTGCTGCAGTTTACTCTCCTGCAAAGGGTGTACTTTTAAATATTAGGGTATATGTGTTTATCTGTGTGGGTGTGTGTGTAGAGTGTGTGTGTTTCACTAAATTTAAGCTTAACTATGGTCATTTAGAATTGGTAGTAAATGTTCTTATTGTTGTTTGCTAATGTTTATTATTATTATTATGTATTAAAGTTCTTTGCTGGTGTCGCAAATTTGTTTTTGTTTTGCGCAAGTTTAGAAGTTTTTTGTTGTTTAACTTTAGGCAACTGCTTGGTGTTTGTTTATCTGTGTGTGTGTGTAACTGTATCTGTGTTTTTGTGAGTGTGGGTGTGTGTGTGTGTATATATTGGTGTTTCAATTTTAAAATATCATATATATTCCGTTTTAGGCGCTTGCTGAACAATGTTTATAGATACGCTTTAAAAAACTTTTCATCTTAATCATCATCATCATTATAATTGTTCTTGAGTTTAAAATTGGAAGTTTTGCTTGTTATTCAATTATAACTAATTTAATCGTTTTTACATTTTAGTTACGTGTTTTTGCTTTACTTGAGATCTAGCAAAAATTTTCATAAAAAATACAGATTGAAACGGAAATTAAAATTTTGCAAAATTTTAACAAAAAAAATTTTTTTTTTGTTTTTTTGTTTTAGTTTTTCATGTTTTCATATTGATGTTTGTTGTTGTTGTTGTTGTATAAGAGGCATGGAGTTACAGTTAAATAATGCTTATATATATTATGGAGTTGCTATATAAGTATATATAGGGGATAGACCCGGTTGCGGTTTACTATGAACTTATTGCAGCACTCTAAGAATGTCAAGTTTTAAAGAGTTGATAAAACAAGAAACTGAATACAAATTTGGAAAATTCTTTAAATATGTTTTTTTGGGAGGCTAATTGATTTCGTAAATTATTATTATTRTTGTTATTATTTTTGTATATATTAATATTTAGATTTAATTTTTCCGTTATTAAATTCCCTATAATATTATTTCTTTTGTAAAATTTATAGTTCTTACTTATTATTATTATTTTTCTTCTTTTTTTTTTTAACTGCTTGTGATGTGTGTGTATGTGTGTAAAGGTGTTAGTTTGGTGTCTTACTAATTCGTTGCATCTCGATAGCAGCAATTCAACTGCCGTTTGTATCTCTGTAGCTGTAGCTGTAGCTAGCGAGCTGTATCTTTATGCTTTGCGTGTTCAGTTTCATCTTCATTTTTATTTATTTATTTTTTTTTTTTAATTTGTAATTTGTGCAATTTCTTAGCTCTACATACATTATTGGGTTTTTGTATTTAATTGATTTCAAGTTACCTAAAATAGTTTGCAATTTAATCGAAAAGTCTTGCCGACGTGCAGAGTCGCAGACATTATATAATAATGCCAATCGCTGCTGCGCTTTAACTTTAAGTTTTAGTTTGCTTAACTTCGATCTCAAGACTAATTTCGAATTTAATGGATTTTCGCATTTTGCATTTATATTTTCTTTTATTTTATTTTTTTTTTTTTTAGAATGTCAGTCAATGTTTCTTCATTAAGCTTTGCTTCTGAATTACTTTATTAATTTTATGCATTTGATCAATTCTTTAGAGCTTTAAATTTATGTAATTTTTAAATTTCTTTTCTTTTTTCATATTTACAATTGAGGGAAATCTTTAGTTTTTGTTTTCTTTCTAATTTATTGTGTGCAATTTTTTCTCCTTTTCGATTTTCTGCTTGATTCTGTTTTATACAAATAGTAGTAAAATGTCAATTACTTTTTGTTTGTTTTTTTTTTCTTGTTTTTTAATTTGGTTTACGCGTTATGTATAAAAAGTTGCTTAAGTTTTAAAATCAATATGAGCCTAACTGTACTATATTGATATAAATAGACTTTATATATGTAATTATTTGCCTTTTCTGGTTTCGTTTTTTTTTTTCTTTTATCAGTTTATTATATTTGCTCAATTATTGTTTCCATTTCAAGTTAAAAACGTATGTAGCTTTTGAATTTTAAAAGGGGATCGATCGTTTTTTATGTTTTTGTTTTGTATTCATGTTGCCTTTAAAATTTGTTTTAGCAAAATGCTCTAATTATTATTTAGAATTTGTATTATGCGATTATAAAAATTGAACGAAATATGTTGTTTGCTAAAATGCTGCGGCAAGTCTATAGATATGCTATATAAATGTATATAATAATTATTTCTTTCTGATTTATATAGAGATAGAGATAGAATTAGAGAGAGAAAGAGAGAGAGATGTGCAAAGCAGTACCTAATCGAAAGTATTAAAAGGGTTTTATAACACCCAATTGCTCATCTTGTTTAGGACTTAGTTCGCTACACGCTGCTTTAGATTGGAAAAGATAAAAGTCATATATACACATACATGCATATGTATATATGTATGCTGCGTTGCAGTAGCTGTAGTAGTAGTAGTTCTTGTTGTTGTTGTTGTTGGTGTGCCTTCTAAGTTCCGAGTGTGTGTTGTTGTTGTTGTTGTTTTTATTAACTGTAGTTGCCTGTTATTGTTGTTGTTGTTTTTAACTCCATGCCGAAAACGTATCCATATACCACTGTTCACCATTTGTGCCTAAAGGTTGCTGTGGTAGCGGTAAACTGCCCCAACTGCCGCCATTTCCTATTAAACCGCTCTGGTAACGTCGCTTAACATCTGCCGGATTTTGGTGACCTCCATCGAACTTACGTTTACCGACTACTGCAGTTGGTCAACAGGAATGCATATGCGTTGTTGTTGTTGTTGTTGTATATGTTTGCGTTTGCGTGTGTTTGTTTTTGCATTTGGTGGGTGGTGTGTGGTGGGTGTGGAACGGATTTAAAAAGAGAAAAAAGAGAGAGTTAAAATTGGTTGTTAATACTACACAAATGGAACAGTTCTTTTTGCTATTGTTCGTTTTCGTGGTAAATTTTTCGTTTATTTAAGAGAATTTCTTTTTTTTTGGGTGGGCTATGGTAGAACTGCGGGTATTTTTATGTTTTGTTATATTTAGTTATTTTTTATAACTTTTTGTTTTGTAAAAAATTAAAAATATAGAATATAATACACACACATATTTTTGCTTTTTTTTATTTAGGTAGCTCATATTTTCTGCGTACAATTACACAACAAAATGTAGAAAATCTCATTAATTAGACATAAACGTCGGGGACTTGGTTTTTTTACACAAACATGACACAGATGTGAGTGAGTGTGTGTGTGTGTGTGAGTGTGTGTGTGTGTATGCGTGTGTTTGTGGAGTGAGTGCAGGTGTCTAGTGTGTAGTGTAAGCGATTAATCGTGAGTGTATTTATGTGCGTGTGTGTATTTGTGAGGGGTAGTGCACGTGTAGATAAAACATTGTACATGATATTATCGCTTATTAAACAACATGTAATTAAATGTGAGGATTTGTTAAGGGAGGACGACAATGTGTGTTAATCGAGTCGTTTTGGGATTTCTTTTTCTTCCAATCTTCAAATGGAGCGCTGTATCTCTTAAGAATTCTCTGGTGTCTTGTCTTGTTCGCCTGTTTTTCGTTAGAAACTAATTTGGAATTTTGTGGTACATATATATATATAGCATTGATTTTGGGATTCGCTTTAGCCTTTTCTTCGTGATTTGATATTCTTGAATGTTAATTGAACTGATCTCTTTTTGGAAATGAAAATGAGAAATTTGGAGCGCACGTATTGGTTTCTCAAAATAAGGATTTCTCAAAATCAGGCTTTTTGATGGGGGTGTGTGTGTGTGTGTGTGTATGTATTAATTTTATCATAATTTTTTTTAGTTAGAGCTCCTCTTTTTGTCTTTCTCTTCGGTTCGAGATGACTTGGACTTGCGTGAATGCTTCTTGGATTTGTGTGATTTAATTTTGGTACTTGAGGAGCTCTGACGCTTCATTTTCTTGCTCGGCGAACGACTTTTGTCGCTGCGCGCGGAACTGACGACCGAGGAGCTACGCTTAGTTGCCCTCCATGAATGTCTTGAGTGCAGATCCAGCTAGAAACAGATTTTAGATGTTTTTTTTTTCTCTTTTTCTTTTTTTTTGTTACAATTTTTTTTTTTTTTTTTTTTTTTTTTTTTGTGCAGCGCCCATGTCGTCGCCCCGTGTCAACATTTTGGGCGCCACAAATGGTGGCAAAATGAATAAGTAGAAAAAAAAAAAAAACAACCAAATTAAGCTTACCAAATGTGGATGGAGAATATAAAATGTGGGCGTTTATGAGTAAAGCGTGTAAAATA